CGGTAAGCATGGCGCGGTGAGCATGGCGCGGCGAGCATGACGCGGCGAGCATGGCGCGACGAGCACGGCGCGGCGAGCATGGCGCGACGAGCACGGCGCGGCGAGCACGGCGAGCACGGCGCGGCGAGCAAGGCTCGTTGAGCATGGCGCGGCGAGCGTGGCGCGGCGACGCGGCGAGCGAGGTTGCACCGACACGCCGCCGCTGTGCCGCTGCCAGTCAGGTTGCTGTAGTGCTCCAAGTTGTTCGCCAAGGTGTCCTGCAGGTGCGCCGCCATGTCATGTTGCGGCCGTGCTGGTGGGGTGGGTTTTGCGCCCCTGCGGGGTGCTCAGGAGGAAGTGCACTCGTATAGCTTTTCACCTGTGTGGACTCGCAGATGCGCGTGCAGGCCGGCAAAAGCCCTGTGTGTAGGCGGCAACTTTCGATACACCGCGGGAGGAGGGGGGGGGGGGGGCTCATCCGCTTCTCCGGGCCTAGACGGTCCTCGAGGGGGCGGCTCCGACCCGGACGTCCGTTTTCCTCAGTTTCATTAGACAAAACACAGCTCGGCGCCTTCGGGACTCAGGATAGGCCACCCCGCAGTGCACACATGCACTCCAGACAAGATGTTGCCTACGTAGCAGGTGCTTACTATGTCTCTAACATTTTTTTTTTGTTTCTGTTGTGTTTTAGGTGACATTCAAGCGTCCAAGGCGTACTACTGCCAGAAAAGCACTGACGGAATCCGATGACGACACCCATGATTCGGACAAGGATTATATCCCCTCTACCGACGAGGATGAAGAAGAGCAAGAAGTTGAAAGTAAAACTTTGGGCGAACCATCTTCGGAAAAATCTGGCAAGAATTCGAGCACAAAGTTTAGAGGAGAAACAAAGCTGAAAGTTAATCTTGCTAAGGAACCAGGAAATTCCAAGAGAACGGTGAAGCAATTTCCGTGTAAATACTGCCTAGATGCCGGCGTTAAGAAACATATGTTCTCTAAGCTGAGAGACCACCTCGAAGCAAAGCATTCCGAGGAGACTGAAGTGGCTGCCCTAATGGCGTGCACGCCGAGGAGGGCAAGGGATCATGCAACTAAAATTCGGAATGCAGGGCAGCGCATGCAGTTAATCAAACTTTCCAAGAAGGGGGAGGGATCAATAAATGTAAAGAGGAGGCCAACTGAAAAAAAGAACATAAAAAACTACCTGCCATGCCTCAAGTGCTATGATCTATTTTCAGCATCATACCTTGCCAGACACTATCAGAAGTGCGGCTTGCAGGAAGTCTTGACCACTTTCTTTTTTTTTTTTTTTTTTTTTCCGTATTTGCGAATAGGAAGATCCCATTCGCCCCTGGTCAGCCAACTAG